TAAAAAATAATTTAAAAAGTAACAAAAAAATTAAAACTATGCCCTCTCCCCTGACCACATTTAAATGTTTAGTTAGGACCAATAACCTACTTTCGGTCTAAAGGAAAAAATAATTTTACTCCTTATTGCTCAAGGGCCCTCGACGTCGCTTTCCTACTTTTACAAATCCATCCTATTAACTATATTAGATTCTACTTGTATAATTTGTAATGTCCCGCCGCAAAAACGGCCCACATACATCTGAATAATTCTGAGTAGATGTACCCATCAACTAATGCTTTTTAATAAACTACCTACCTTAAAAATTGTTAGTAAAATAGCTTTGATTTTTGAAGAAGTAAATAATATAATTTACATTTTGCTTACTTACTAAGTAAAATAAGTATTTGAAAGAAAAACTTTACTTTTATTTCTAATAGTAAAACTTTTTTCTTTTTAAATTACTTTTTTTTTTTTAATTAGTTACTTTTACACATGTAAGTAATTTATTTTTATGATGCACTTTTGTTTTACTTTTTAAAGTGTTACATTTTTCAAACATTACATTTACATAACGTTATCTTAGAAAAGAACTTTTTTACATATAAAAAGTAACTTTTACTTTTTATATGTAAAAAAAGTATAAGTACTAGTATATTACTACTTATCAATGTAAGTTTCGCGAATAAGTAAAATCAAAATTACTTTTCAAAGTAAACTACTTTTTAAGGACTTACCTGAAAAAGTAATTTACTTTGAAATTACTTTAAAAACGACTTTAAAAAAAAAAGTAATTTTTTTTTACTCGTAAAAATAAATTACTTTTTCAAGTAACAGTTACGAATTTAAGTAATTAAATTTATGTAATTAAGTTTTACTTGTAATATAGTTTATGCAATAAAAAAAAAAAATTACTTTTAAATTAAATATTTAATATGAGTTATGTAAAGTAATTTACGCTTAAAAGTAAATCGCGTTTTTACATCAAAATAAGTAAAAGTGCCATCCTTAATGCCCTGCATTTAAGAACTTTGAGAAATGAAATTTTAGACTGAAATTCAGACTGAATTTCTGAGCTAATAATAAGTTTGAGATATGTTAACGTTTACTTTTTTTTAGACGTAAAATGTTTTATCAAACTGAAGGCATATTCTGTAATTATGCAATAGACAAATGATAAAAATTTTTTAAAATAATTTATATGGTTTAGAGTGCTTACAGTAATGGTTTAGTGTGTTTAATTTTGATTTTTTTTTCAAGCAAATCTCAAAGACTTTTTAAAAAACTTTTGAATTTGCTATGTTTTGTAAAGTGACTTTGACAAATTTTTTTACAAAACATTACAAAATTTTACTATTTAACACTGCCGTATGTAAACTTTACATATTATTTATTTTTACATAAATCATTTAATAAATGGTTTATGTATTTATAAATAATATGTAAGTTTTACATACTTATGAAAAAAATTAAAATCATACATTTATTAAATGTAAGATTTTACATATTTTATAAGTAATATAATTAATATATTTTTTATAGTATAAGTAATATATTATAAAATATATAATTTATAGAAAATGTTAAATCTTAAATTTATATTATGCATTTATAAATGATATCTAAAGTTTATAAATAGCAGTGTCACTTAGTTAACATAATAATACTATGTCTTGTAAAGTGATAATATTTATAATTTAAGTTATATTATAAATATTATAACTTAAATTTTAATTTGTAGTATAAAGTTTTATCTCAGGAGAACACTTCTGCAAAGACTATAACATACCTGTTATAGTCTTGCAAAAGTGTTCTCATGAGCTGTCGTCTATCCTTTCAAAACTATTCAACAAGTGCTTATCAGAGTCTTATTTTCCAGCCTGTTGAAAAGCAGCATCTGTTATCCCTATTTTTTAAAAATTCTGGAGAGCGATCTGATTCATCTAACTACCGTCCCATTATTTTTTACGTAAACGTCATTTGGTATCTCAATGGTAGTTTGTTTTTATTGGCAGCATGTATTGTCATCAATACATGCTTCCATTGTCACAAACTAATAAAGTTTAAAAGTTATCTATGTATAATGATTTTTTAAACCATTTTATTACGGTGTTGTATATTTTTTAGAATCTGCGCTGAAATAAATTTAATATATAATTACAAAATGTAGCTCAAAGACAACATAAAACTAAACAATAAATTTTGGTCCACAATAATTGAAATACGTTATGTTTGACTAATCATGAATATAACTATTATATATATTAATATAAGTACTCTACGCTGGTTTATAATTGTAAATTTTCATTGTAAAAATAATTTTAATACAAATTTATTGTGGTCAAAACTACAATTGTTTTTAATATTTTTCAATATGTTTAAATTGTAACAAATAATTATTTTCAAGTAATAATGTAACCTAAAATGATTATTTTTTAATTAGATATAATCAAAATGTTCGTGATATTGATATGTGTGCAAAAACGTGCAACAAAAGTTATATCGTCGGTTAAACATTTTAATTACGAAAAACGACTACAACAACTAGATCTTACCACGCTGGAAGAACGCAGAATTCGCAGTGACCTTATACTGCAATATAAAATTGCTCATCAGTTACAAGAAGTTAAATTTTACATACCACAAGTCCAGCCTTTTTTGTTAAATTCACGATATAATCTGAGAAGAAACAGCCGATGTTTAAAACCACAACTGATCAAAAGAAATTCAGAACGTCAGCACTTCTTTACAAACTGAGTTACTAACCGATGGAACAAAATAGCTCAGAATGTAGTTGATGCACCCACTGTGCACTTTTTTTTAAAAAACGCGTTTAAAATGCTGCTTCGGCTGCAGCAATGTCTATTGTCAGCATGGAAAAGCCTGATGTGCTTCCCTTCATCAATTCAATCAAGAAGTTGTATTGATTACTGTAATAAATAAAATTAAAAATAAATTGATTATTTAAAACTAGATGATGGCAACTGAAGAAGTTGAAACACCGTTATTCATGGTGTCATATCGAGGCTTCAGTTCTCCATTATTTATTTTTGTATTTTATTATTTATGTTATGTTTATTTTATTTGTTATATTTGTAACAACAAACTATGAGAATAGTTAATTGTCCTGCACTCTCCCTCTAATTCAACCGAGTAATGGTTATCTTAGTTATAACACGTATATCGATTTATATACTGTATTGAGTTAGCTTGTGATTTGTACGTGTGTTTTTGTTTGCCTAGTGTTAGTTAATTATATGCAAGATATGGCATGGTATGGCACACTGCATGTTAATACCTTATATAATATTATCCATAAATATTTTTATCTAAAATTTGTAAATATATATGCTATAAATTATTATATTATTCAAATGTTTATTTTTAATTTATAAAATTAGTGTAAAAGTGGATGAAAGCACTAAAGAAGCGAAACAATAAACTTTAAAGCAGAATTTTGTCATACAATTATGGTGGCGATATGAGAGAACTACTGTGGCAAAATATTATTAAATCATTCTACAATATTAGTTTTTTGTTGCTTAAAAATATTATGAAATTCAAATCTATTTTTTAAAGTGGTTCGTAAAAATAATGTCAGACCAAATATTCATTTGCCTAATACATTTTATTACCCTAACAGCGAATTTAATATAGATAATATAAATAACCTTTACTTTTTAATTTTATTTAAAAAATGCGACACTTTTTAATAAAAAGATTGTCACATTATTTTGCAGATTCGAGATACAAAAAATTTGCGAAAAACAAACTATAAAAAATTGAGACCCGCGGTAAATGAAATAAATATCTGAGTTCAATATGGGATCTCCCTTCAAAAACCCAGACTATTTCTAGATGGGACCGAGTTGGATTCCACCGACAGAATCGTAATGGGACCCATGTGGAATACCCAGATGGGTCCCAGCATTTTTCCCTGTTGGGACCCAGTTGGAATGGTTAACTGGGTAATATATACCGTTAAGAAATTAAAATGTAGTAAAGCTGTCTTACTGGCCTCATGTTGTTATTTTTTTTGACCGATATTTGAAAGATAAAATATTGCCGTTTTTGTCGTAGAATTGATAATAGAGTGATAGGAGTCTCTAGATTACATTTATAAAAAAAATACTACTCCAATATAGAAGTTGGTTTTGCTCACCTCTGGTTCACTGTGCAGTGGTAAGAGTTCTGGCTGAGGAGCCAAGAGGTCCGAGGTTCGACTCCAGCTCTAGCCCAATAAGTATAGGAGACGGTAAAATCCATAGGGGAGATCGCCCACCTCCTTCCCTAATGGATTACTCATTAAAAGATTACTGCAACTAACTTCTCAAAAAACTCATCAATTTGATTATTACACGCCCCAACCACAATAGATAAACCAAACAAAGAAAAGTTCACTTACAAACTCAAATACCTACATTTTTAATTAATTCAATTTCAAATAATAAAAGTTTTTAGTAACAAATCTAATACTTTAGCGGTTCTTATTAGCAAGACTTTGTCTTCTACCAGTTTCCGCGTTATTATTCTTTATTTCTAACAAAATCATTACTTATAATTTTTTTCTATTTTACATATTTGTAAAAAGTTTGTAATAAAGAACAAAAAATAATAAATAATAATTAAGAAAGCATTTCTTTTATGCAAATGTTAGAAAGCCATGCTTACTAATTTGATTGGATTCTATAATAAAAAATGTTGTAAGATGAGACCTGAATGGTTTGAAATGAAAGTTTTTGATGCACCGATGAAATAACCTGGTACATTGCTAATGGGTAAAAAAAAGAAAATGTTTATAATAATGCTACTGTTTATTAGTTCCTTTATCCAATTAATCCCGAATTATTCAACGATTGTACAGTTTGGTTACCAACCTCAATTGAATAATAAAACAAAACCAAAAATTTCTATTGTTTCAAACAATTTTAAACCGCTTATAAACGTTAAGAGAAAAAAGTAACGTTTTTAACCCATACTACAAAACCCAAAAAATAAATTTACAAATAGTTTAATTCTTTGTAATAAAACAATATATTTAAACCAAAAATTACATAATTATATAATTTTATGTTTAGCTAAACAATTTCAATTTAAAAATAAATAAACAGCACATAAAATATAATAATAATTCGATATGCAAAAAAGTTGATTTTTTCAAGTTATTAGAAACCGATAAAATCCTACTATTTTGTAATAATTAAATAAACATAAATAAATAATTACGTCCTTAATATCTTTATTAACAATTTGTTCAGATATAAAACATACAAATTATATATAACATATGTAAACAGTATTAACAGTAAATACAAAAGAGCCATTTATCTTATATATATATGTTAAAACAATTTTTAAATCTAAAAATAAAAAAAGATATAAAAAACCCTATCACGCTGATACAAAGAAATAATTCGAAGAAAATTCAATTCATAAATTATAATTGCTTTACATTAAATTTAATTATAATTACAAAGTTTCTAAGTATCAACATTAAATAAACTACTAGTATTATTTGGACCAACATTGTCAACAT